CTTAGCTGGGAAAGACAGCTGGGTGAGTTTGGGCCAATCGCCAGGAGGTGGTGAGTTCTAGTCCCAACTTAGGCATGAAAGCCAGCTGGATGACCTTGGTGACTCCCCCACCAGGAGACAGGGAGTTCTAGTCCCATCTTAGCCATTAAAGGTACCTGGGTGAGTTTGGGCCAGTCCCTCCCTGTCTCAGCCCACGGCCCACCTCTCAGGGTGGTTGTTATGGGGAAAATAGGAGGAGGAAGATAATGTTGGAGATGTTTACTGCCTTGAGTTATTTGTAAAAATAATAAAGGTGAGATAAAAATAAAAATAAAATTCCGGTTGCTGCTTTGCCAGAAGGGAAGGTCCTCCTTCTGTTTCTCAAAACAAGTGATAAAACTAACCCCAAAGTTATTTTTTTTTCCCCCATCCAAACTGGACTTTCTTGTTTTTCTCTTTGAAAACGTTTCGCTTCTCAACCCAAAAGTTTCAGAACTTCCTCAGAACTGAAGAAGCTTGGATGAGAAATTAAGCATTTTAAAAAAAGAACAAGGAAGCCCAGTTGCCTGTTGTTGTTTTTTAAGCACCTTTGGGGGTCCACCATGACCTGGATGGCTGAGAATCTCCTAGCAGCTTCCTGACAGTGGGAAGTGCACTCTGCTCATGCTCCAGAGCTGTGGGGCCCTGTGCGGGTGGCACCTGCTGCCAGCCGGTGCCCAGTTGCTCCTGGCACAGCAGGCGCCCTCCCTCTGCCCTCTTTGCTGCCCTCCAGACCTGCTGACCGAGGAGCCCCGTCCCGGGCTCAGGCCCGTCCGGCGCTTGGAGGGGGGCCGCCTACTGACCCAGGCCGTCCGACTGAACAACAACACCCTCAACGACCTGACCGATTTCCCAGACATTATGGAGAAGCTGCTGGAGTATCCCCTGGACATCTACTGGATCGACCTCTCCTTCAACGACCTGCCCAACATCGACCCAGTATGCAAAGCCCCCTTTTTAAACTCATCCCTGTGTATATTAACTCATAATATATAATAGGAAGGTGTCAGCTGGACTCTGACACACCATTTGTTTCCCCCTGGACCCCGGTCTTCCCCCCACCTACCCCCTGGATGTATATTCTCCAATGGGACACATCCATAGCCCAGAGTCATCCATCAGGCTCTCCAGTCATATTCTGGCGCTCCGACAACTTTGGGCTGCCAGGGTGATGATCTAGGCACTTAAGGAATGCACTGTTTCCCCCCCACACACTTTCCTTTCTGCTGGCAGCTATAAAGACCAAAGGAGTATATTTTTAGTTGATATTCTCACTGAACGTGAACTTTGGGCTTGGTTGTGGTCGTAAGTCGAGGACCACCAGTATTCCATTCAATTAAACATTGCTGGGTTCCTCCACAAAGCACAGAGGCATAAATCCACCTCAGAGGAGATTTTGGGGGGGGGGGGGGGGCAGAGAGAGACTGGATGCCCGGTTTATGACCATCATACATACCACCCTTAATAGCCAAGGGGAAGGAATGGGCCGGGCAGCCCTGGGCAGCCGACCTGAAAGGCATAACCAGAGCCCTTCACAGGTGCTCGGAAAAGCCAACAAGGAACAACCAAGCCGTAAAACTAAAACTAGAGTCAACTCTCCCCCCTCCCCCAATATTATTCTTGCCCTTCTTTCCCAGGTGCTGACCACCTTCTACAACCTCCGGAACCTGAACCTTCATGGCAACAGCATCCAGCATCTCTCCGAAGTGGACAAGCTGGCCGTGTTGCCTCACCTGCGCAACCTGACCCTGCACGGAAACCCCATCGAAGAGGAGAAGGGCTACAGGTAAACCCCTGGAAGCTTTGCTCCAGGCTAAAACAGGCGAAGAACCGTTGCAGGCAGAGGTGGATCTTCAGCCGGTTCTGACCAGTTCTGGAGAACTGATAGCGGAAATTTTGAGTAGCTCGGAGAACCGTCCAATGCCGCCTGTGCTGGTTAGACAGTGTGATGACCCAAAGGGGCGTGGCACAAAAGCAACAAAGTCCCCAAAGTAGGTAAAGTCCCTTTAATTCCTCCAACTTGGCCCCCAATATCCAGTTAACATTGGCTGGAGAAAAAGCTCTCCCAAGAACAGTTTTTAAAGGAAAGACATTCAGTCTGAACCCAAAGTACATCTAAATTATAAATAAAAACCAACACAAACCACACTGCAGCAATTAATGAGACAAAGCAGGATAAGGAATTGCAGACTTCCAAAAGATAATGAAACACACACAGTTGGGAAGACACCGGAACCCAGATAAGACTTGACAAACAAAGATAATGCACGCTTTGCTTCCAGCAAGGTTCTGTGCGCAAACGCCCTTTTTAAATACTGTTTTCCCAGCTGCAGCTAATGAAGGGAATCAGGGCCCTTTCCTCTCCCGTAAGCCACATTGCTCCCTTCTCCATTCCTCCCTGCGTGCCCTAGGATGCAGAGGGGCTGGCCCTGCGTCTTCCTCTGAATGCCCAGCCGGACTGTGCCCTTCCCCAATTTCCTCCACAGCCTCCGGAGCCACACTCCCACTCCCTGTTAGCTGCTCGACCTTTCCCTCAGAATCAGACTCCAACAGGGGCTTGACAGACAGTAGTTAATTTAGGAACGAGAGCCGCCCCCTTAAGGGAATGTTTCATGGGAAATGTAGTTCATGCCTCTTGGGAGATATAGCTCATGTCACGTGGTCACATCTGTAATCCTGATTGGTCACTGAATTGATCTCTGGTTGGGCTGGGGGAGTTTTTGGGCATTCTTACCTGGACCTCCTATGCTATGGGTTGAAGATAACCATCTTTTTTCACGCTATCGAGGCAAAGATTGGATGTTAAGGTGAATCTCAGCATAATTGTGAGTTATATTTTGAGGATGCCTAATACAATCCAAAGGAACTTTGCATGGAAGCCTTTCCAAGTCTTGGGCTGCTTGTCCCATGCTATCCCAGAAGCGTGGGGCTAGAAAGTGAAAAGATGGGGGCTTTCTGATTTCCTCTTCCATCGGGGGAAAAGAACCACGACTCTCCGAGGTCCCTTCCCACCCGGTTATCCTGGACTTGGAGCGGCTGTTCTCCAGATCCCAGAAACTTTGCATTAAAACCCCTAAATTCCATGCTGGAAGCTGCCCCGTGAGAAGCACGTCCCCCCCCCCCCTTTCTGTGTCCAAGCGGTTGATTTCATTGGATGCACCCCTCTCCCTGGGAGTCTTCCCAGAACTGGATCCAGCGCTTCCTTTTGGGTTGGATCGACTCCAGTCCCCAATACCAAAAGGACAAGTTGCTTCCCCCCCCCCCCGTGGAATCCTTCAGAACCATCCTCCTTGGGGGGGGCTTCCCGATCTGCTTCAGGTTTTTTGCAACAGAGTTTGCCAGACGAGAACGCCGCTTCAAATTGGCGTTGGTACCGTTTTTAGTAAATTTGGACGAATCGTCGCCCTTCTTGGGTATGCAGAAAGCACGGCCTCCCTTCCCGAGTCATGGAAACCAACCACTCAAATGTCACAAGACTTTTGAGAACACACAAGGTTACACAATGCCCTACAGAGAGACCGATCGGAGCAATGACTCATCATGTCAATTGCAACTTCCTGCTACTACCTCTGATTGACACAGGGAAAATCAATCCTGAACAGCCCAGAAGAACCTGAATTATTCTCTTGTTCGGATATCTCCAACCTTGGCAACTTTACGAGTTTGGACTTCAACTCCCAGAATTCCTCAGCCAGCGTGTGCTGGCTGAGGAATTCTGCGAGTTGAAGTCCACAAGTTGCAATGTTGACAAGGTTGGAGATACCTGCCCTAGTTCAGTTATCTATTGGTCCTCCTGCCCTACCCATTGTCTTCTTCCATCCTTGGTCTCCAAGGTCCATCAACTCTTATGGAGTGAGCTGGTTCCAGGCCACGCAGGAAGTCCAACTGGGTGGGCCAGCTTCTTCAACTTCTCTGCTCTTCTTGGACCTCTGCCAACCCACGAGAAACTGACCTTTCACCTGTTTTGTGAGGAGGAGGAGGAGGAGGAGACACACCTCTTGGCTTGCATCCTCATGTAGATTGGAAGGATTCCTTGAGACAAAAGCAACAGAGTTGGAAGGGATGTTGACCACCACCCCCACAGCCTTTTGGACAAGGGGCTGTCCAGTCCCTTCTTAGGACAGGTAGTCCTCAACTTATGACCACCATTGAGCCCGATGTTTCTGTCACTTCGGTGAGAGCGTTGTTCTATTTTCCCCCTATTTTACGACCTTTCTTGCCCCCATTCGTTCAGGGAATCGCTGCCGTTGTTAAGCGAGTTAACATGGTTGTTAAGTGAATCTGGCTTGCTGGTCAGGTGGTTGCAAAAGGGGACCCTGCAACCGTCATAAATATGAAGCGCTTTGCCAAGTGCCCGAAGTTTGATCAGGGGGACACGGGAGGGATGCTGCAACGGTTGTGTGCAAAACAGTCCCACCATGCCCTTGTCGGAGTCTGATTCTGAGGGGGAGATGGAGCAGCCGACAGGGAGTGGGAGTGGGGCTCCGGAGGCTGGGGAGGAAACCAAAGGAGGGCACAGTCCGGCTGGGCATTCAGAGGAAGACGCAGGGCCACCCCCTCTGCATCCTAGGGCACGCAGGGAGGAACAGAGAAGGGAGCAACATGGCTTACGGGGGAGGAAAGGGCCCTGATCCCTTTCATGAGTTGCAGCTGGGAGAACAGGATATAAGTGGGGCTGGAAGCAAAGCGTGCATTATCTTGGTCGAGGCTTATCTGGGTTTTGGCGTCCTCCCAACTGTGGGTGCTGCGTTATCTTTTGGAAATCTGCAATTTATCATCCTGGCCTGCCGTGTTAATTACTTCAGTGAGGTTTGCGTTGGGTTTTTTTATTTCTAATTATTTTTACTTTGGGTTCGGACTGCATTTACTCCTTTCATAGACTGTTTTTGGAAGAGTTTGATATCCAGCCGAGGATAATTGGACATTGGGGCCCAAGTTGGAGGCATTCAAGGGAATTTATTCTACTTTGGTGACTTTTGTTATTTTTGTGTCACGCCCCTTTGGATGATCACAGGCCCTAAGTCACTTTTTCAGTGCTGCCGTTAACTTCCAGTCATTAAATGAGCTGTTGCAAGTTGAGGACTACCTGCATGTGGGGTTCATCCCTTCTGCCCTCCCCGCCTTTGGCAGCCTTCCGTGGGCAGCCCTCCCTCCGTGGCTTCCAGCCCTTTGAGGGGAGGGGAGGGGAGGGGAGAAGGGTCCTGCCCAGGGAGCAAGGGGAATGACCCCCCCTCTGTCCCTCCCTCCCTTCTACCTAGGAGTTACGTCCTGTCCACCTTGCCCCAGCTGAAGAACTTCGACTTCAGCGGCGTCACCAAACTGGACCGCAGCACCGCAGCCGTCTGGAGGCGCATGAACATCAAGCCGAAGGCCATCCGGAAGAAACGGGAGCGCTACTGATGGGGACGGCCGCCTTCCTGAGGAATAAAGCTTTAGAGCAGCTTCTCCTGGTGAATTGCGGGGAGGGGGGCCAATGAGAGCCAGGGGGGCACAGACATTGGGGGGGGGGGGGGGCAGGGGATTTGCGACCCGATGCGCCTGGAGAGATGCGAAAGGAAAATGTTCTCTGTTCCAAATGGGTGGGGTTTTTTTTTTAGTCGGTTGCGAACGAAGAGTGGGAAATGTTTCCTAGGCCATAGAATAAGAGAGTTCGAAGGGACGCCCTGGAGGTCATCTAGTCCAACCCCCCCTCCACACTCAAGCGAGGCTCTTATCATTTCAGGCAAATGGCTGTCGAATCTCTCCTTCAAAAGTCTCCAGTGATGGGGCACCCACAGCTTTTGGCGTCCCACTGGTTGTTGGTTTTCAGGGTTGGGGCGTTTCTCCTTAGTTGTATCTTAGATATAACGTGTCGCTTTTTTTTCCAGTGTTGTAACTGGTCAAGGATAAAATAGGCAAAGGAAGACACACCAATGGGAGGGGATTTTTGTAGTTCAGGGTTGAAACAATGAGTCCTTGGTGCTCTCTGACCTTGGTGGTTTTCTTGCAGACGTTTCATGACCCAACTAGGGAACATTATCAGGAGAAAGGGTTGGAGGAGGAAGACCATGAGGGTCCCTGGTGCTCTCTGACCTTGGTGGTTTTCTTGCAGACGTTTCATGACTCAACTAGAGAACGTCATCAGTGTTAGGAAGGAAGAGGTTTGTGGAGCGAGGAGGACTGTGAGGCCCCTGGTGCTCTCGGCCTGTTGATTTTCTAGCAGACGTTTCATGACCCAGATAGGGAACACCCTCAGTGCTAAAGGGAGCATAAGGGCCAATAAGCTAGAAGCTCAGAGAGCACCAAGGACCCACAAAACACGCCCCGTGCTGCTGTGCTACAGAACAGGAAGACAAACTGCCGTGTTGTATCTGTAAGCCAGAAGCCCCCTCCCCCTTCTTCCAAAACCTCCCATTAGAGATGTTCAACGCACATTTGAGTGGGACACGGGCTCTGGCTGGATGGCCTCAAGGCACCCTTCAGGGAATGTCAATTCGGCCCACTGCCCCCCCAGCTTGCTTGCCATGGGGCCCAGGAAGAAAACGCAGCCCACCCTCTTACTTCCCGGCCAAGACCCCAAAGGCTCTTCTGGAGGGGTGCTCCGCCTGCCGCTTCACCTGTACGTTGCACCTGGAGGCGCAGGTCGGTGGTCCTCAACCTCTTCTTCACCACGGACCCCCTTTGAACACCAGGGGCCCCCCCAAGGCTGGAATCGGATATTTAAAGCAGGGGAGCTGAAGCCCACAAGTCTTAAAGGTGCCGAGTTTGGGGGCCCCTGCTTCAAAGCATCGCGTTCCTTCAAGCCTTGGTGGGCCCCCGGGGGCCAGTGACTCCCAGGCTGATGGTCCTTGACCCCCTACCACAATGGAGCCCCAAAGTTTGGTTGCCAAGGGACCCACAAAAGCCCTTCCACGGCTGAATTAGCTCAATTAGTTCTAGGTCGCATTTCTCTTTGTTACGCTCCCGTTTCTTCCTTTCCCTGCTTCTTTTGGAGAATAAATGTACTCTCTCTTATCTTGGGGCGGCCCTTCAAATATTGGAACAAGATGCTGTCGTTGTCACCCCTGGTGCTTCCCCGTCCCTGCAATTGTTGGGGCCTCCTGGGCCCTTCAGTCCCCCCCCCCCCCCCCCCCCCCGCCCCCCCCCGCCCCCTTCCCCCGAGTCTCGGCCGCTGTTTTTGTGTCGTGGGAGGCTCTCGCCAATGAAAGGATAAAGCCAGCCCTTCCATCCTTCCTTCCACCTCCGGGGTCAAATAAAGAGCGGGCCTTGGCTCGGATGAATATATTTATACTTTTCTTAACCTACTTTAGCAAAACCAAAAGGAGGAGAGAGAGAAAAAAATTAAAACGACAGCCCAGCCAGGTAAAACAGGGGAGGGAGGTACAGACCGAGGAGGGTGCTAGGACCCAAAAGGCTTCACTTCCGTGGTTGTGTGGCTTTTTCTCCCCTCTCCCCCCCCCCTTAAAAAGCTCCAATTCACCTGCGCTCCTTTCCCCCCACTCTAAAACATCCAAAGATGGGGGGGGGACGGGGGGGGCGGAAGGAAGCAACCCGGCTCAGCCAAGGGGGGGTGGGGGGGTGACAAGAGCTCCCCCTAGCATGCTTGTGCCCCTCCCTCCCTCCCTCCCCTCCCCTCCGGCACAAAGTCCACGTTCCAGAGCCACAACCACAAAGGCAAACGCCCTCTGCCTCCTGGCCCAGACCAACCGGGCACCGCCTGGCCCAGCTGGGGGAGAAGAGGAGGAGCAGGAGGAGGAGGAGGAGGACGCCAGGGGATGGGTCTCGCCCGCCTTTGGCTGTCCACGCGTTAAGTGTCCCTGTGGCCGGGTGACCGACCCAGTGTCTCTTCTTGTGCACGGAGGCCCACCGCGGTGTGGAGCCGGTGGAGGGGGAGGGGAGAAACCAAACGTGGAGGAGGAATCACCCAAGCCCAGGCGAGCGGATAGAGGGGCATCAGGGGATCCCAAACTGCACCACCAGGTCTTCTTTCGCGTCCACGCGGATCTGGGAGAGGGCACTGTAGGCGTAGGCAGCTATCCGGGAGACCTGGCGGGAAAAGGGGGGCACAGGCGAGAGGTGAGGGGGAGGGGGCGCAGGAGAAGCTTCTGCCCACCCACCCCCCAGCTATGGAGGAGAGAGACTTCTGCCAGGAGGCTGGCACCCCTGTGGGGGGGGGGGGTCTCTGGTGGCCCAGGGGTTGGAGGGCAGCATTGCCGGCTGGCTCTGCCCAGAGTCACCGTTCGATTCTCACCAGGCTCCAGGTTGAGGTGGGTAAAATGAGGGGCCAGGTGGTTGTGGGGGCCACAGGCTGACTCTGTCAACGGCTCAGAGAGGGCTGGGGAGGCCCTGGGAAGCGGTGCGTAAGCACTAATCACGGCACTAAGAACGGTGCCATTAAGGCAGGCTGGGTGATTTGGGGCCAATCCCCAGGAGGTGGTGAGTTCTAGTCCTGCCTTGAGAGTCCAGCTGGGTGACCTTGGGCCAATCCTCAAGGGGTGGAGAATTCTAATCCCAATGCCTCATAAAAGTCAGGTGGGAGGCTTTGGGACCCATCCCCACCCCTCTCAGCCCAGCCCACCTCACAGGCTGAGAAAGTCAAGGGGAGAAAGGAACGTTGTGTATGTTCACCAACTTCGGTTACTTTTAAAATAAAAGTGGATTGATTAAAAAAAGAACTTCTGCACATATAATATATAAAATGCCGGTGATATTGGTTCTAAGGGACAGAGCCAGCCAGCTCCTGCAGCCGAAAGTCCCAAGAGTCCAGGGGAGCAGAGGGGGGGGGGGGGGGGGGGCCCTGCCCGGCCCGGCGGGGGGCGGGGGGGGGGGGGGGGAGGGGGGGGCGGGGGGGGGGGGGGGGGGCGGGGGGGGGGCAGCCCCAGAGGGCCCCCCAGGAGGCCCGCGAGCCTCCACTTGCCACCAGGGGCAACTGAACCACTCCAGGTGGGCTGGGCTGCAGCCCCTCCCACAACAGGGCCGGCACCCGTTTCATCTTAAGGACCGCCAGAAATTTCACTCCCCAGGACTGAACATGCCGGGCAGCCGGTTTAAGTACAAGGTGGCCCTCGAGTTACGTCCGCCACCGAGCCCCGAATCTAAGTTGCTGAGCGAAACATTTGTTGAGTGCGTTTGTCCCAGTTGACGACCCTTCTTTGGCACGGATGTTAAGTCAACCACTGCAGATAAGTTAGTCCCACGGTGGTGAAGGGAACCTGGCTGCCCACCCCCCACCCCCGGATTTTGCCGGTCGTAAAGGTCACAAAAGGGGATCACGTCATCACTGCAACAGTCATAAGGCCATGCCAGTTGCCAAACATCCCAATTTTGATCACGTGACCGCAGGGGAGGCTGCAATGGGGGTGTGTGTGTGAAAAAAAGGGTTCCCAGTTCATTTTTCAGTCCAGTCTCTTCTTGAAAGTCTCAAGTGATGAACCTTCCACAACTTCCAAGGGCAACTTCTGTTCCGTTGGTTGATTCTCCCTGTCAGAAAGTTTCTCCTTATTTCCAGGTTGAATCTCTCCTTGGTCAAGTCTCCATCCATTGTTCCTTGTCTGGCCTTCGGGTGCCTTGGAAAATAGCTGGACCCCTTACTCTCTGTGGTAGCCCCTCCCTCAAATGCTGGAAGGCTGCTCTCCTGCCTCCCCTGGTCCTTCTCTTCCCTAGACCAGCCAGGCCCAGTTCCTGCAACCGTTCTTCATGTGCCTTAGTCTCCAGTCCCCTAAAATCATCCTGTTTCCTCTTCTCTGTATTCTGTCTCAACATCTTTTTTGTGGTGCGGTGACCAAAACTGGATGCGGGACTCCAGGTGTGGCCTTACTAAGGCTTTATAGGGTGGGTATTAGTTACCTCCCTTGATCTCGATTGTCTCCCTCTGTTCATGCAGCTTAGGATTGCATGGGCTTTTTGGACATGTGACGACGGGAAGGCTATGACGGTCATAAGGGTGAGGACCGGTCATAAGTTCCTTTTTCAGCACCGTTGTACGATGCACCCGGGTCGTGGCAAGCCGAGGGCTACTCACAACTGTAACCTCACGGCAAGGCTGCCTGAGAGAGCTTAAGCAGCCCCCCCCCCCCCCCCCCCCCCCCCCCCCGCCCCGGGAACCCCCCCCCCCCCCCCCCCCGCCTGCCTCGCTCAGGACCGCACACACACACTACCCTGCAGCTGACCCGGGGGGTGGGGGTTCTGGGGCAGCCGGACCTTGGCCCCAAGCCAAATACCCACGGCCAGGAGCAGGGCCAATGCTCGGGGTTGGGTAACGGCTACCTGGGGTGGGCCGAGGGTCCCAAGGCTTTCAAGCAGGGAGGCAGTTATCTTTCACAAGACCCCCAAGGGGCCTTGTTGGCCCACTCAAGAGCCTCCAGAGCTGGCTCTGCCGACTGGCCTGGCCTGGGGGATGCCCCATGGTGGGTGGAGAGTGGACTAGGAAGAAGATCCCACTTCCACCCTGGACTATTCCAGCTTTTAACTGAATTTCTGTTTATTTAACCTCTGATGCAGAGGTCCCCAAACTTAGCCACTTTAAGACCGGTGGACGTCAACTCCCAGGATTCTCCAGCAGTCTTAAAAGTGGCCAAGTTTGGGGACCCCTGCTCTAACGCCTCCGCTTCTGTTCCTATCAGATTTGCAAGTCTGTCCCAGAGTCGCTTCGCAGTACGAGGGGAGTCCAGACAGATTTAATAAATGAAAACAACAAAAAGAGGGGATGGAGAAAAACCAGCATTCTGAGTATTATTTTGCCACTGACAAAAATCCCTGCCAGTCAGTTGCAAAAGGCGGCTTGACACCCCGTCATGACAGCTGTAACGCCATCCAGCCTCCACACCCGCCTCTCCCAGGTCCTTGGGAAGGGCTCTTTTGAGAGGCGGATAAAAAAATGCCAAACCCAGTCTGGTCATCTGGCTGACTTTGCAATGCTCGATAACAACAGAAAGGACGAAAGAAAAAGGACGTGTATACCCACAGGTACCCCTGGAAGTTAACCCCGTTCACCTGGGTCCCCCAGAACAGGCAGCCTCCCCCCCCCCCCCACGCACCCCGGGCCAAAGACTTACATGGCTGTCTTAGCCAGGATGGAGGAGAGCAGGGCCTGCTCGTCTGTCCGGGCGGAAGGCAGAGTGCAGCAGGATTCCATTCCATTCATGGACTTGTTGGGTGGGCTGGAGGCCGGGGGCAGCAGGGGCTTGGACTCCTCCCCCTGCAAGTGAGGGAACAAGGGGGGGGGAGGGAGGTCAGTCTGGGGAGGGGCAAGTGGAGCCCGGCAGGAGGTCCCTAATCCCTCCTGGACTGGGTAGACAAAAAGGCAGAAGAGAACATTTGCAGCTCGAGGCTGAAATGAGGGATCCCTGGTGCTCTTGGCTGCTTTCCCTGCAGACGTTTCATGAGCCAGCTAGGTAACCTCATCAGGGCTAGGAGGGAGAGGGGTTTGCAGAGAGGAGAAGGGAAGAGGGAGAGGGACTGTGGGGCTCTCTGAGCTTGGCTGCTTTCCCTGCAGACGTTTCATGAGCCAGCTAGGTAACCTCATCAGGGCTAGGAGGGAGAGGGGTTTGCAGAGAGGAGAAGGGAAGAGGGACTGTGGGGCTCTCTGAGCTTGGCTGCTTTCCCTGCAGACGTTTCATGACCCAACTGGGGAACCGCATCAGGGCTAGAAGGGAGGAAGGTTTGCAAGGGAGGAGGAGGAGGACTGAGGGGTCCTGGGTGTTCTCTGATGAGCTTGGTTCTCTTCTTGCAGACGTTTCATGACCCAACTAGGGAACGTCATCATAATCAATGCTAGAAGGGAGGAAGGTTTGCAAGAGAGGACGACGACGACAGAGGGGTCCTGGGTGCTCTCTGAGCTTGGTTCTCTTCTTGCAGACGTTTCATGACCCAACTAGGGAACATTATCATAATCAATGCTAGAAGGGAGGAAGGTTTGCAAGAAGGGGGGGGGGAGGAGGAAGACTGAGGGGTCCCTGAGGCTCTCTGAGCTGCGTGGTTTTATGGCAGATGTTTCATGACCAGGGAACGTCATCAGGTCTACAAGGGAGGAAGACGGGGGCCCTGGTGCTCTCTGAGCTTGGCTGTTTTCCTGCAGACGTTTCGTGACCCAACTGGGGAACCGCATCAGGGCTAGGAGGGAGGGGGGAATTTGCTCCCTGCTTATCTCTTAGTGCAAGGTTCTTCAAACTTGGCAGCTTTAAGGCTGGTGGACTTCAACTCCCAGAATTCCTGAGCTAACATGACTGGAGGAGGAGGAGGAATTCTGGGAGTTGAAGTCCACAAGCCTTAAAGCTGCCAAGTTTGATGACCCCTGTATTAGTGGCTGTGGAACTACCAATTCAAACAAACAAATCATAAACAGCCTAAGGAAAAAACCGCCATGACCACTTCCACCCACACCGACAGGCCAAGCCACCCGTAGATAAACAGAGAGCAACCCCCCCTACTTTCTAAGCACTGATGAGATCACCTAGTTGGGTCATGAAACGTCTTCAGGGGAAACACCCAGCTCGGAGAGCACCAAGGACCCCACAGGCCTTTCCCTCTTCCTCCTCCTCCTCCTCTCCACAAGCCCCACTTCCCTTCTAGCACTGATGACGTGACCTAGTTGGGTCATGAAACGTCTGCAGGAAACCCACCCAGCTCAGAGGGCACCAAGGACAGCCCAGAGACAGGCGTCATCGTCCTGCCTGCCTTCCTCCCTCTGCCCACTTCCCTTTTAGGGGGAGGGAACCATCTTTCCCACAGCCTGCTGCAGTTCACGTGGCCCCCAAGGAGCCCCTTGGCTGGACGAGGAGCCTGAGGCTGCCACTCCCACCCTAGCCCAGGCCTGCTCTTTCGGTGATTCGCCCATGGGACACTTTGCCATCCCTGGAACTCTCCGGTACTTCCACACCCAGCGGAGGCAGCTCTGCTCCAGAGCGTTGGTCTTCTTGGCTCTGGGACTTTCCTCGGCCTTTCGCTCACCACCGACAGGTTCTCCTTGACTTACGACTGTGAGTTTCCCCATCATCTGATGACCTTTCTTGCCACCGTTAAGTGAATCACTGCAGTTGGTTACACACACTCTGGCTTCCCCCATCGACTCTGCTTGTCAGGAGGTTGCAAAAGGGGACCTCAGTACACTGTGACGGTCGTAAACGTGGGTCAGTTGCTGAATGTCTGAACTTCGATCACGTGACCTTCTTTATCCTACTAGGCGACCACACAGAATCTGGGTCACATTTTGGGGTCTTCTGACAAGCCGAGTCCATGGGGAATCCAGGCTCACTTCATAACCATGTTACAAACTTGACACCTGCCAGGATTCACTTAACAATGGTGGCAAGAAAGGTTGCGAAACGGGACAAAAACCCCATTTATTTATTTTTTAACAAATGTATTGGCTGCCCATCTTTTACCACAGGGTAACTCTGGGCAGCTTCACAACGGCCCCACTTAGCAAATCTTGGAAATGTTGGGCTCCCCCGTGTCAAGGACCGCCTGGGTCAAGGAAAGTTGCTGCCTTGGGAGCTGCTTCTGATCGGAGGTGCGAGGCAGGAGGAACCCCAAATGCAGGACACTGACTAGGTGACTTTCAACCATTCTTCCTTCTCATCCTAGAAGGGAAGCAATGACAAAGCCACCCCCGAAACTGGCTGCCCAGACACCTGGATGGATTCCTCCAGGCAAAATCTCCAACGGAAGGCAGCAGTGTTTGAGGTGGTGACTAAAGGCCCCAGGTTGGGAACTGGAAGAGTGGCCTTTCTGGCCCTCCCATGGGTGGGGAAGCCGGCTGGGTGGCTTCGGGGAGGCCCCTCCCCTCCCTCCCTAGCCAGGAGGAGGAGGAGGAGGAGGAGGAGAAAGAGGAGGAGGACAGGGCAAAACAAAGGACTCTGAAATCTGGCCAAGAAAACTGCAGGCACAACAAATAAATAGAAGAAAATGTTTGTAGCTCAGGGCTGAACTGTGGGGTCCTTGGTGCTCTCTGGTGCGTTTCTCACAGAGTTTGTGACCCAATTAGGGAAACTCATCAGGGCCACTAGTAGAAAAGAGCGGAGTTTGAGGAGAGGAGGTGTAGGAGGGCAACAGTGGGGTCCTTGGTGCTCTCTGGTTTTCTGGCAGACTTTTTCTGACCCAACTAGGTAACATCATCAGAGGTAATATGAAACATCCAGATAAGCAGGGATTGACGTCAGACAAACAATTAAACAGAAAGCAACATCCCAGTCAAGGAACTAGCACGGAGAAAAACTGCACTTCCGCCAACGCTGGCAGAGCAAACAGTTTATATATAAACAAGAGAACCAACCCTCCCTTTCTTTCCAGCACTGATGCTGTTCCCTAGTTGGGTCATGAAATGTCTGCAAGAAAACAGCACAACTCAGGGAGCATCGAGGAGCCCACAGTCCTCCTTTTCCTTCTCCTCTTTGCCTTTCCTTCTCTTTCTCTTTCCTTCCTCCTCCTCCTCCACTTTGCAACTCCTCCTCCTCCCTTCTAGCCCTGATGAGGTTCCCTAGTTGGGTCGTGAAACGCCTGCAAGGAAACCGCCCAGCTCAGGGAGCCCCAGGGACCCCCACAAAAGAATCCAGGCCTCCCTTTGCCCCAGAACCTCCTTCCTGCCCCCCGCCCCACAGGGACCCCAGGAGGGGAGATTCCCCACAGCCTCCCCACCTCCACAGAGACCCTTTCCAGATTCCCCCAAGGGCCCCCAGACCCAGAGAAACACCCCCCCCCCGAATAAGAGCAGGGGAGGGGGGGAGAGGGAGGAGACCGGCCGGCCTGGCTTTGGGCTGCGGGGGCCGGAGGGAGTTTGTGGGGGGGGGAGGGTCTTCTCTTCGCCCCCTCCCCTGCAGGCACCGCCTGCCTCGACCCCGCCTCCCTCCGGGACGCCCCCAGCCAGACCCCCTCGGCACGCGAGGGAGGCGGGGACCCCCACTAGGCCGCGAAGCCCCCAGACCCGCCGGAGGGGACCCGGCCTCCTCCTCCTCCCCTCCCCGGGCGGGGCCGAGACCTGGTCGGAGGCTTCGTTCTCGCTGCTGTAGCAGCAGCCCATAGCGGCGGCGGAGGGGGGGGGAGGCCCGAGGGGGGAGGGGGCGTCCGCGGCTCTCTCGCTGCTGCTGCTGCTGCTGCTCCGGCCGAGGGGACTGGAGACCCTGGCGAGCCCCCCCTCAGCTGGCGGCTCGCCTCCTTCCGGCTTCCGGTCACGCGACGGGGACTTCCGGGAACTGGGGTGGGGCGGCGGCACGAGACGGAGGGGGGGGCGGGGCTCTCGCGGAGTCACGTGACCCTCGCACGGGCCTCGCCGCGGCTGGGTTCCTTTCGCTCCGCCCGGCGCCCGATACTGCGCATGCGCCAGTTTCAAATTCTCTATCACTGTACCTATATTTACATCTGTATGACATTACAGATTACAAAAAGAGTTGGAAGGGATCCTGTAGTAGGTCATCTAGTCCAACCCCCTGCCCAAGCAGGAGACGACACCCTACACCATATCTGACAGATGGCATATCTATCTATCTATCTATCTATCTATCTATCTATCTATCTATCTAT